TATAGTATAGTATAGTATATAGTATAGTATAGTATATAGTATAGTATAGTATATAGTATAGTATAGTATATAGTATAGTATAGTATATAGTATAGTATAGTATATAGTATAGTATAGTATATAGTATAGTATAGTATATAGTATAGTATAGTATATAGTATAGTATAGTATATAGTATAGTATAGTATATAGTATAGTATAGTATATAGTATAGTATAGTATATAGTATAGTATAGTATATAGTATAGTATAGTATATAGTATAGTATAGTATATAGTATAGTATAGTATATAGTATAGTATAGTATATAGTATAGTATAGTATATAGTATAGTATAGTATATAGTATAGTATAGTATATAGTATAGTATAGTATATAGTATAGTATAGTATATAGTATAGTATAGTATATAGTATAGTATAGTATATAGTATAGTATAGTATATAGTATAGTATAGTATATAGTATAGTATAGTATATAGTATAGTATAGTATATAGTATAGTATAGTATATAGTATAGTATATATATATACTATACTATACTATAGTATAGCATAGTACTATATATATATATATATAGTATATATATAGTATATATATAGTAATATATATATAGTAATATATATATATATTACTATACTATAGTATAGCATAGTACTGCTATACTATATATATATATATATATATAGAGAGAGAGAGAGAGAGAGAACGAGAAGAAGAGGATAAATTTCACAAAATCGCGCACCGTTGTACCCTCACGAATCAGCTTCCTTCCTTCTTTTCTTTATTTCCGTTGAAACTCGAGCTTCGACGCGTTACCGACAGATCACGGTAACCACGATTCTATTTTAAAATTATGTAGGATCATTAAGGTGCCCTCATCAGTCACCACTGCGTGTACCGGCTAGGTACGGCATTGGCAGCAAGCTGTGACGTCAGCTGACGCATGCGCATAAAGCTCTCGCGTGCGATAAAATCTCACGACTGCGCAACACTGTCTATGATGACGCGCATGCGTTTGTATGATTATCATGACATAGGAAGTCATATACTCAGTGAACAAAAAGTTCAATGATTTCTAATTTTTATCTATTGCAGTATATCCCGTGCACTGGATGAAATACTTTCTTTTCTATATTCATATATTATATAAATATATTCAAAAGCAAAGCACAGTATTTCTTTCATCTTGTACATTTACCATATTATCAGAAGTCCTCGCTATTTATATGTTTTTCTCCACCGGGTATATGGCCACGGAAGTAGAAACATGCTGTAGAAGAGCATCAGACTCCTAGTTAGAAATCTCCCTAGCTGTCGAACTGCGCGACGTCGAGGTTTCTCTTTCGTGAAACAGACTGTACACACACACACATATACATATTTATTTGTGTAAACGTGTTAACTAACAATAATCATATAGATAAAAATAAATGTGTACGTGTGTATTAATGTACTAACCTTGTAAGTGCACGAAGTAAGAGATAAGGTGGGAAAAAAGGTAGAAAAGAGAGCGGTGAAAGGAAAGAGAAAGATAAAGAAAGAGAGGGAGTGAACGGTGTTTCGGTGGAGGCGCTGTGCAGTGGCAGAAGACCGCGACGGCGGTGGTGATTCAGACTTCTTATCAACCTCGAAAAGTCGTGGAGAAGAATAGGGAGAAATTCGTTGACATTGGGCGTCGATTACATGTACGCGATGAGGTGCCATTGATAAGACTCGGAGCGCCGCGTGGTTCCGCCTCCGCCGTGCCCAAACGCGGCACATTACGGACGTGTGGATAAAGCGGCGCCATATATACACGATATACAACCGTATTTTTTCTTTCGGGAGTGCGAAAATACGAAAAAAAGGGAGGAGTGAAACGCCTCGAGAAATCGCGACAGCATAGCAGCTCAAGAAAGAGATAAAAGTACTTGGAAGTCCGTGGATGCGGCGCGGTGCTTGCACCCGTGCGTGAATCACGCTTTCGAGGTGCTTGTGTATCTCCTGCTGTCGAGTACACCCCATACCCACAACATTGACCCGTTCGTAGACGCCGTGACTGTTCGCAATCGAACATTTTTCGTAAATTCTGGCGATTTACCTTGTGTCACCCACGAGGAGGGGCATCTTTGTTTCATTCCATGTTCCCCACCGGTCGTCAAGCTCTTCCACCGTACAAAGCCGGTATCTGAAATATTTTTTTCAATACGTCTACTAAATTGATAGAAGTCGCTTATTTTCCTTTATAACTAAAGTGAATGGATCTTAGAATCTCGTGTTTTCAAGAGAGAACTTGGTGGTCTTGTCAACATAAAGGATTCTTTATTTACCATCATTTGAACCCCTAATTTTTTCAAATTTGTGCAACTGGTAGGAGGTAATAGTACTAAACCGGTCTTTAAGTAATAGTTAGAAACAGAGCAACGTACGGTAGATTGGCAACAAAGAGACAGAAGCGAAGACAACATGTCAGATGAAGAAGATAAACCCCCTGCGCCTCCTGTGCGACTTACGTCAAACAGGTAATTTTAGTTTCTAGTAATGTATTTTATGTTCAATAGCATATATTGTAATTTGTTAAAATTGTACTCTTGAGTACAGGAAAGACCTTTCTTTTACTTCATTTTTATGTATATCCTGCAAATTTCATTGCTGTATCTTTAAAATTGATTAAACTATGTTCAAATTTGTAAACAGGTAATTTAAGTTTATAGTGATGTATCTAATACTTGAGAGTACATGTAATTTGTTAGAATTATTATAAATGATATAATATCAAATTTATTATTTGAAATTAGTATAAGTAATTGATTTGTTTTTGCATTAAACTATCATAAATGTAATAGCAAATTGTGTTATATTTATGTGATATAAAAAATTGACTTAAGTTGTGCATTCTTATTATTTTCCCTGCAATATGTAGAAGTCTACATCCCCCCAAAATAGAGGAACAGACACTAATTTAGAGGTTGCTAAAAATAAAATCTTACAGTACAGACATGATGACATTCTGATGTGGGAGACCATTCTTTTAAGTCTCCATATGCAGTCATAGTAATGAACCTTAAGAGTCTAATGTATGAACTCTATACCATATGTACATAGACATGCACATATCATGTGCTTATTAATAATTTATTCCAAATAACAATATGTACTTTTTTACAATTTTGATAGTAAATTTCTGCAAGTACATTGTGATTGGAAATTAAGACTTAACAATTTTCTTTTGCCAATTCATATATAAAGAACAATAGCAATATGTAAATAATAACTTATTTTTATTTGCAATTGCCTATGTATAAGGCAGAGAAATAAGTATGTAAAGGTATTTAAATTGCTGTTCATTAATGATAAGTTTTCAATGTATTTCAGAGGTGAATCAGCACCTAATTTACCAGTGGATATGCGTCCACTACCTAAAGAACCTGATTCTGATGAACGTAAGAAAAAAACACTGAAAAGCAAGATGAAGGTAAAGGAGAACAAGGATAAGCCAAATATCAGTTATCCCACTAATTTTGAACACACAGTACATGTTGGATTTGATGCTGTTACCGGTGAATTTACAGTAAGTCTACTTGCTATTTGCAATTCATTATCATTGTTCAAAATGCACTCGCTTTCTGCTTTGCTATTATATAATGGTACGAAATATCCAAATAAACATTGTTTGATGATACATATTTTTTGTTTCAAATCACTGTTTTTATGATATAAAACAAAAATTTAAGAGTAATGTACTTTTATTTAAAATCAAATTTTTGTATACATTAATTTATTTATTCAGTGATATATTGTGTTCTTTATAAAAAGGAAGATAAAGATAAAATATATGATTGTACAATCAATTATGTATCAGCCAAACAGTGTTTTCATATGGAATATACAATTCAGATGGATTTTTCGCACCTTGAAAAAAGTTAAATTTTCATCACTTGTTCACACGTGTATGGACATTGTGGAAAAGTAATTTGGTAATTTGTCTGATGCTTCTTATACCTATTATTTTTTCACATGAAAAACTAACTTGACACGTATTTCTTTCAAGCTGCCATTAAAAGTAAGTAGTCTCAAATGACCACAAAAATAATTTACCTATAGTTTTTCTTATACATACACTTGGTTTTACTGTTTGTTTTTGTTGCAATTAATAGTACTGAGTTATTATAATTTTTTATCTAAAACTTAGGAATTACCATAGGTTAGAAGTATAATTGCTTTGGTAGATTATTAGATGCTTTAGTCAACGTTGCATTTAATATTATTGCTTTCTTGCAGAATGAAATTTAATATTCGTTTAAGTGCTTAAAATCTTACTATTTCTTCCACGTATAAATTGAATTCTCGAGTATTTTATATTTGCACGATTTTTCTCTTAGTTTCAAAAAACTTAGAGATTAACATCAGAATAAATATTGTACCCAGTATCAGTTATTCCCCGTTTAAATTTGTATATGTACCATTAATATTGATTATTTTAAAATATAATCTTTGATCCTAGGGAATGCCAGAAGCTTGGGCAAGGTTGCTTATGTCTAGTAACATCAGTAAGCAAGAACAGAAGAAGAATCCGCAAGCTGTATTAGATGTTTTAAATTGGTATGATAGTAGCAGTAAAGAAACAAAAGGTTCCAAATATATGACAACAACAAAAATGGTTGGCGTAGTTGGTAAGCTAATAATATTGTTGTAAGGATAAACTTCTGTTAAAAGTACATTAGTAAATTAAAAATACAAAATTTTATTTATAGCTCCTATTGAAAGAGCAAGTAGCCCTAGAAGCATGGGTATAGGTGTTGGAACAGGGGTAGGAAATATTCGTGGTCAAGCAATGTCACAAGCTTCTGGAAGTTCTCATTCTCAACATTCACTCAGCAGGTGAGACCTTTTATTCTTTTTAAATCTAAATCTGTCACAGACGCGTTTAATATGTGCTGAGAAACAATAAAATTACAGAGTAAGTAGCAGTAGTCCAAGTAGTACGCCAACTGATGCTTGTGCAACCAGTTCTGAACAAGAGGATGAACCTCCGCCACCACCGATCTCGGCTAGACCAGAGCGTACAAAATCAATTGTATGTAATATTTACGGTTGACGATTTATCATTTTTTATATCTTCATTTGAATATTACAAACTAACATCTTTTATAACAGTATACGAAACCAATAGAAGAAGAACCACCGCCACCATTAACAACTACACTAGGATCACCTCAACGAAATGGTACACCGCAACAACCACACCAGTCGCAGCTGGATAGAAACAAAAATCAAGCAACTCCCACATCAACGACCACCGATCAAACGAGACCAACGCAAAGTGATAAAGCTAGAAAGAAAAAGATGTCAGATGACGAGATATTAGAAAAACTTAGAACAATCGTGAGCGTAGGTGATCCGAATAGAAAATATACAAAAATGGAAAAGATAGGACAAGGGTATATTACAACGTACACTTTATTTCGAAGAATATCGTTAAGCGCGATAAACATTTCTACATTCATTTTTCAGTGCTTCAGGAACAGTATATACAGCAATTGAAACATCAACAGGAATGGAAGTTGCAATAAAACAAATGAATCTTTCGCAACAACCAAAGAAAGAGTTAATAATAAATGAAATATTAGTTATGCGGGAGAACAAACATGCAAACGTTGTAAACTACTTGGATAGTTACCTCGTAGGGGAAGAATTATGGGTAGTTATGGAATATTTACCTGGTGGTAGTTTAACAGATGTTGTAACTGAGACTTGTATGGACGAGGGTCAAATAGCAGCGGTGTGCAGAGAAGTGTTGCAAGCTTTGGAGTTCCTTCATTGTAATCAAGTTATACATAGGGATATCAAGTCTGATAATATCCTACTTGGATTAGACGGCGGAGTAAAACTAACAGATTTCGGATTTTGTGCACAAATTTCACCGGAACAAAGTAAACGAACTACAATGGTTGGTACACCATATTGGATGGCACCAGAAGTAGTCACGAGAAAACAGTATGGCCCAAAGGTAAATATATTCACTGTAATAGGTTGGATTTATCATAGTGCAATCTTTAAAACTAATTTGAATATAGGTCGATATTTGGTCATTGGGTATAATGGCTATTGAAATGATAGAAGGAGAACCACCGTATTTAAACGAAAATCCTTTGAGAGCGTTGTATTTAATCGCAACAAATGGAAAGCCTGAAATTAAAGAGAAAGATAAATTGTCGGGAATTTTTCAAGATTTTTTAGATCAGTGTTTAGAAGTTGAAGTGGAGAAACGAGCGGCTGCTTCAGAATTACTCAAGGTAATTCTAACAATATATACGTAGCATAAAAGTACAAAATCAGGGATGTGTGCGTAGCTTATTATGTCGGGTATTTAAACTTCAGAGTCAGTGACATTTAATTAATGTTGTATAATATATTTTTAAACAATTCCGGTTACTCGCACATTCCTATAAAAAATATATTTAATATATGTTGTGTTTGAGTAAATTAATGAAATAAATTGTTAATAAAATGTGTACTTTTGTGACAAATTGCAGCATCCTTTTCTGAAATTAGCAAGGCCACTTGCTTCTTTAACACCTTTAATAATGGCAGCAAAGGAAGCTGCCAAAGGTCATTAGAAGAGTGGTGTTTTGTGGTCATGCATGATCGCAGAAAAAGAAAAATAATTTTACAAGAAAATAATGAATCACCCTCCCAAAACGGAACGGCACAATAATTCAATAATATATAATAAAATAATAAACATATATAAATATATAAATATACATATAATATATATAATATACATATAATTCACGAATATATAATATTATATATATTATAAATGTATACAATATATATATATAGGTCATAGATAGATAGAACTTATCCGATACCTTGAAAAGTATCGAGAAATGGTTTCAAAGTTTTTAAATTACTCGATTCTCGCATGTTGCGAGCAAGTAAAGTTAAATCAGAACTGTGAACGATCTGACGGCAGAAATCTTGTATTCCTCGACAAGTTTTTATTGGTTACAAAGAGCTCGCTACGATGTCTTATTTAATAAATAGTCTTCAAAATAAAAAAGAACAAACTGTACGAGTAGGTTGTTGCCTGGAGAGCTCTTCTGCCAATAATAAAACTGGACATCGAGGATGTTCAAGCGACTGTCAGTTATTTTCTAAAGATATAAAAAAAAAACTAGTATTACTGACTCTAAAAAAAAATTGAAGATCAGAGTTAGCTACAAACACACATTATTTATAGCAAAAACCTTATTAGATAATACCATAAAGAAATGTGAACAAGTAAATAGGACCTATTCTAATATATTATTATGGTTTAACAAGAAATCGTAGATGAAGAAAATTGGTCTTCGTGTCAGACTTATATTTTTTGAATGAAGTTACGGAGAGCAGAGCAATATGTTTTCAGTCTTTGGTCTGTCAGTATGACGTAGATATAATAAGCGATAGCCTAACTTGTTTTAAACGTTCTCAAGAATCACGTTCTTGTCATTAACTGTTAGCAGACATCATTACGTTTTATATTTTAAGTTGATGTTTTAATAGATTTTTTAAAAATATTTCGACACACTGCAATTCTTTTGCATTATGTTAAATCTGTATATAGTACCAGATAATGATTGATTTCGTACATAGTGAAATTTATGATCAATTTTTAATACACGCGAAATCTTATTTAAACTCTATTCATTTTATAATTGTAAGATAAGAAGATAAGTACTTTTTCTCATTTGCATCGCTGATTAAGACACGTTGAGATATTGACCTTGTTACTAAGATATAATAGTTGTAAGAACATCTTTTTATGGACTTGATGTCCAGTTTACGTGTGTTCTTCGATACAGGTCAAGTATAACGTTGTCTACAACGTGTCTTCGCAACAAGTGAACGGATGATCGACGAAATTTTAAAACAAGGTTCAGATATAGGAGCATTTTGTGACACTATAAAGTGCCTGTCTTGTCATGTTTAGACACGTGAAAAAACTCGCGCTAGATTCCTTATAATCTTGAACCATCAATGAAATGATTTAATATTTTGTTTAAAAAACTAAGCAGCAGTATACATACAAATCAACGGAAGATTATTGTTTCATTATATTGATATATAAAGCAAGGTTTCTAGATGGTTGTACTACATTAAATATGTAATAATGTCTTTCCTAATTGTATTACAGTGGACTCTCGCTATATGGCCCTAAACGATAGGAGCGAAAAAGTATTGTGGAATAGGCCTTATAAGCGGATCTCTTTCCGTATGTAACACTCGATTGTCAAAAACATACTTTCAAATTTCCAGATTAAAAAATTTGGAAATTTGAAAGTTTGCGAATTAAAAAATTTGATATTCTGGCAATATTCGTGGATCTCCATGCACTACAATAACGAGAGAGGTCCACTAATGTGCGTGAAAGTCCGTGCGAAATGAAACTGGCTGAACTGGCCATATAAATGGAAGCTATATATCGAGACTGCACTGTACGTCTTAAACGTATATTACTGAAAAGAAAGAAACCTTGGGATATTCTTAGTTTAAGAAATACAGATTTTTCGAACTTGTCATTTTTATTCTTTATCATCTTCATTATGTATAGGATTTTATCGTACATTAACGCTAAAAAAACGCCACGTGAGAAATATAATAGCTATCGAAGAGATTAATGACATATTATGCATAAAGCGAAAGAAATAATAAAAAAAATGATTACGAAGCATACATCGTTTGGTAACGAATGATCGTATATGTAATAATATATTCATTATCTATTGAGTTAATTGTTCTTTTGTAACTTTAAAAAGCCTGATTAGTTTTTTATAATAATCAATAATGTCTAATTATACTTGACAGACGAAGCAGCTCAGTTTGTATTGCGCTTACGCCTGAATTTGGAGTTGTATGCTGAAGGATTAATAATGTATTTACCTGTCGAAGAATCAGGGACTATATAATATTTAATTGTATCAAATTTGTCTCAGTATTGCGTGAGAATATGAGCTGTTGCATTATTCCATTTCAGCATATACTCCAAATTGTTTGGGCACTGTAAGCAATGTTTAGGAGGTATAGAAAACAAAATAACTGTGCACGTCTAGTATTAATAAAGAAAAACATACAATTGTGTAAAAGAAAAATGAAAAAAAGAAACTTGCGATTCAGGGTCAAAATTGACATTTAACTCGATCAGAAGTACTGAACGAGGTCCTGCATTTTCACAAATATCTTTAGAACAAAAAAAAAGAACATAACGTCCATTTTATGTCATTGTATTACTGCGGCAGTTATTAAGCATATTTCAGCTACAAGCAGCTATGTATAAGATTTATTTTTATTCGCAAGATCGAGATGAGTAAGGTGCAATGTTTGCTTGTCCACGTTTTTGAAAATTGCATACTTGTATGCGAGTACTCTTGAACATTCAGTATTTATTTATGGACTAAACAAAAGTACAAAGTTGTATTGATATGCCTTACTGTAATAAAAGTAAGTATTATTCGCAAAATTCTTGTGAGCTTCGTTATTTTGCTATTAAAAATAATAAAACGGTATTATGTAATGTTTCAAATAAGATCCTAAACAAAAACGTGGACAAGTACGTGTTTTTGCATCGCTGTCTTGATTATCGTTCCAAGTGCATTTACGTATCCCTTTAAGAAATGTATTATTGTCAGTTTAGAACTATAAAATAGGTTCCTACACAAATCAGATTAAGTATGTATACGCATGTTTTCAATACTCTTTTTTATGATGTTTTTGAAAATGCTTTGAGATCTCACTTGTGAAACAAAGATCAGGCCTAGTAACGATGTCATTATTTTATTTACGTGTGTCAATAAAAATTTTGGGCTTGCAGTTTTTTAATGAAAACTTTCCGTTTTAACTGTACCTCTGTAAATGAAATTGGCATTTATTATTACAGGGAAACATTTGGTAAAAAATCTGATTTCTCAGGAAAGCTAATACTTAACAATGTCGAATTTAAAAATAAAAAAAAGCAGTAAATGAATAATGAATTATTGTAAAAAAAATAATGCCTAGAATTTGCGTATATATTGTACTGTAACACGTTTTAGTTTGTTTTAAAACGTTACAATATAAGGAAACATTTTATAACAAAAAATTTCTTGTTCTTCCAATAAGATTCCTCCTTCCATTTTTTAACATTGCACGATAAAACTCTATTGTTAATTATATATAAATTCAGAATCACAGTTTTTCTTTTCCTTAAATATTGAAGGATTTTATATAGTAATTACAAAATAACAATCTTTCTATATAATTTGATATATTAAGACAAATAAATAGTAACCATTATTTACATATTATATTCATTACATATAACATGAAAAAATAATAGAATGTTTTTATAAGTTATTTCTTACACATTTTACATTAACTTATCAGATCTTTTATACACGCTAAATGTTTTTTTTTTATCTAACATTCATTTAGAGTGTATGTACAGAATTGTATTAATTCTAAGATTATGATAATGCAAAAATTAATCTGAGATATTTTATCAGCCCATAATATGTAAATATACATATTTCTTTTATAATAAATCTATGCTTGCTAATGCACAAAAATATGCTTAGAATTTATGGCATACTTGAGATTATAAGCAATTGTTCATAGCACGCATAGAATAACTGTTAGGATGTTATTGATATTTCGTTAACACCTATTTGCTCGCATTTTGAAAAAGTAATGAAACTTTTATGGAACAGCAAAATGTAATTTAAAATATCGAATTGAGTTACGCTTATATTACGAAATATAAACTCTTTTTCAATATAAATTAGATTGTGACATTTGTAAATTTCGTTGAAAATTTTTTCCTATTAATTTTACGATGGTGTCTTCTTTTCTTCTCCTGCTGGATGGAAGTTTATGGACGCCGAGTTGATACAGAACCGCTTCCTCGTAGGTTTTGGTCCATCATTAAATACGTGTCCCAAATGTGCACCACATTTTGAGCAGGTCACCTCGGTCCGCACCATATCTGGGTTTGCGATCAGCAGTAGTAGATTTCCACCAACTGTACGTCAATTGTCGACGCAGTTTTCGTGTGTCAATGGTGAGAGTGAAGTGGTGGTAGCGGAGCAATAGGAAGACAAAGGAAATAGAATAGAGTGTGATTAAACGTAAAGACCAACACCTTAATTTGCGCACTTTAAATGTTTTCCAGCAATAGTAGGACCAAAATAAATGAACTAATATTAATAAAAGCAATAGACTGCTTGCAATAAGTCCAATAAAACCACAAATCTAAATAATTTTAAGAAAGAAGAAAGAAAAAACGAAATTTAAATAAAAGAATGATACATATATACCTTATTCAAGTAACATACAAAACAGAAATGGCTACGTATTCTAATCAATACCCATAATATTGGTCCTTTGTTTACTCATCCAATAGAAGTTCTCCAAGTCCCTTTCTATATTTAACTGCCTTGGTATTAAATTAAACAACTTAATATAATAATCCTGAGTAATATTTGCCTCTTTCAATATTCTACTTTTTAAAGAATTTTCAAATAGTTTTATTATTTTAACACCATAAAAATAGTTCATAGAACTTACTGTTATTATATATTACCTTCATTAAAAGATTTTTGTTTATATACAACATAATAGTATTGCTCAAATATGTATTAAGGAAAAAGAACTAATTCAGAATATTACAGAATATAATAACTTAAACTTCAAATTCATAACAGTAATAAATTGATTAATATCATAATATAAAAGTAAAGCAGAAGCTACAATGTTAAAAACTATATAATGCAAAAGTAAGAAATGTTAATTTTCTTTTTCCATATGAAATACAAAAAAGTTAATTGTAATATGTAACTATGATCTTAGTATATATAATACATGATGTAAGTCTAACACAAATCACACTCTAAGCGATAACATGCAAGGTAAAGGATAAAAGGAATACTGCCTTCCTTATACCAATTTAATTAGGAAAAAAGTTGGAATGATAATAATGTTGTAACTGTATAAGTTATTTTATTCTTATACATTAAAGAAAATATACATATCTGTGATAAAAGAAAAATGATAAAATTGTAATAATGATATAATTTACATGCACATATCAAATACCATTACAAAAGGTATTATAACATTTATGTAGCTGAAATCGTAATAGTTTAACCATACACTTTTATGCAATTTAAAAAAATACCATAAAGATCAAATAAAATTAAACAACTAATATCATGGAAGGCTCAGGAACATCGAAACTAAGAGTATAGGAAAGGTTTGTGATAGAGCGAATGTAAGAAAAAATGAAGAATGTTTAAAAAAAATGGTAAACAGATAAAACTCTAATGATGATAGCATTCAGTGTTATCATTTATGAACTAAATTTCACAGCAAAGTTTATCTATGTACCATTTAAAGCACATACTTTGAATTAATGTAGAGTTGTATGCGTAATAAATACTGTGTTATCGTACTAAGAGTCCGAGCATAATTCTAAAAGTATTATCAATAAAATTAAAATTCACATATTTGCTTACCGTGCGAGGTATCTTTGGTTAATTTGACTCGTCCCTGATCCAATACTTCATTGAATGCAGGCCAACCACAGCCACTATCATACTTTGTGTCAGAAGAAAATAATTCTTGATCACAGATTATGCAGGTATACGTGCCTTTCTCATAAAACTTGTTGTAGCAACCACTAAAAGGTCTGCACAAGGAAACAGAAAAGGTGTGGAAGCATGAAGATACTTGTATAGCAGGAAGTTAATTATGAAGACCCTATACTTTATTTTTAAACTGCTTGGTCATGACGCAAAGTCAAGCCAACATATGCTCTTGAAAAAGTTATTTTGGTCTCGCGTCACCTAAAAGTAAACTAGTTTCCACCATACAGGCAATATTTTTGGAAAACTGTATCACTGGTGTTGCAATTCGTTTTAAAGTATACACTTTTGATTTTTAATGATATTACTGATTAGAACTTATTAATAAGATGTGGAAATCAATAAAATAAAATCTGTTACTTATAATCATAATTTTAGTATTACTCATAAAGTTGCAACATGAGAAAATTTATATTAATAAATCGTACGATATACGTTTGAAAGAAAGTAATATTCTAATCAATTGAAAAGATTGTTTATATGATTCAACATAGTTGCAAAAGCATGAAATTCAAGAAAATTTCAAACCATGACCATAAAAACTTCTTCATGGACATAAAAATACTCACATGTATATGGCTTTATAAAAAGAAACACGTATGGAGCGGATGCGTATCTAGTTCCGTAACAGGCAAATTAAATTCACGTCACATACCTTTCGGTTCCCTTTTCCTGTGTGACGTGCCACTGTAACGGCGTCAAACGTTTTTTTAACTCTTCCTTATCGATTTCTACGGTCATTTTTCTAATCGAGCCTTCAAACAATTTCAAAAGAATATAATATCAGCAAGTTGAACAACAGAAAAAAAAACAACGCGGTTCACTTGCCGCGCTTTCCTTACAACTATGCGCTTATATACCAAGAGAACAGAAGCGGCACTGCCGCCTGTTTCTTTCGAGGCATGGATGGTCAGATTTCGTGACCTTGGATCAACCAATCAGCTTCTCCGGTACATAAATTTGATAATTATGCTTTTTGCAATTACACATGACTTTTACAGTGGAAACGTAGGTATATGGATAAAAAAACAACATTTTTTGGATAATATCGATGAAAATATAAACATATAAAATGTGGATATGACGTCGGTGACACATTGACTGTCATAGCGAAGATAGGAGTGTATAGTACACTCTACTGCACATAGGTTTTCTTTGAATAAGGATAATTGTAGGGGGAGGATCCTCCCACGTATTGCCCCCAATTTTTAGGAATCTGATATGTAAACTGATAAATTATCAGATCCACACATTTTCACATAGGTTAAAATGCAAATAAAAATATAATAAAAAATATCCGTATGAATTGAAATTCAGCCGCAGTATTTCCTGTTTGTAAAAAATGTTTAAAATGGAAAGGGTTCATAAATTAGAAAGTTAATAATTCACTTTTGGAAAAATTAAAATTAAAAGGAATCTCAGATATAAGTAAACATTTCATAATGATGATTCGGCAAACATTCTTAAGCGCAAGTCTCGTGCGTCGCCGACTCTCCGGACAAATCCAGTCGAAATTAAAAGGTTTCATCAATTGTAAAAAAATTTGTAAAATTCAAAATTTTCGGATGAATATTTGGAAGATTATTCAAAATACAAGAATATTAAATAAGAAGTCAAGTTTTATACAGGAAATAAAAATCTTCTAACTCGTTAGAATTACGTATTACTTCTATTATTATTTATCATGAAAGGTGTTGTAACTCTCAACGTACAATTTAACAAATTAGCTGAACAAATAAAAAATAATTTGTTAAAACATTAATGTGAGTTTCATCGAATCATGATTAGTAATAATTGTAATTACATATATTGCAGGCACACAAAGTACAAATTATAAATAAATGACTATGGAAATTGTTACATATAAAGGTTAACCTTACTGTAACGTACCTTCACATAAAAATAATGTAAGAAATATTTCAAGGTGTATTTATCTTTTCTAACAGTACAAACCTCCTTGAAGAATCGGATTCCTCGTAAACAGAGTTAAACATCGCAGACTTATCGACAAGTTTCTGTAAATGGTATTCATTATTGCAATACTTGAAACCTTCGGTCATAACGCGCATTGTTTGCCGCAACAGTGTTCACAAATTATTTTCAATCAAAAACATTCGATAAAAAAAAAAAATTATTTTATATCAATGCTACATCGTTATTATGTTTTATCTCCCGAATCGTTTCGTAATCCATCTGAAAACATTACATGAGCCGATTCTTTTATACTTTTTTCTTTCGGTAGTTCTAAAATGAGATGAAAATGTGTCGAAAATAGTGATGTAGCATTTTTGAACAGACTTATGTTAGTATTTTCCGACCAATGATAAGGTCTGGTAAATTGTGTTTCTGTTTCATGTAAGATCATACTTAATTCGCGCATCTCGACTAACTTCAATAGACTCCCTACCACTTAGCGGTGTTCCCCTCCCATATGCTTTTCAATCAGTTAGTCTATACAGGGTGGATAAAATATATGAATAGTAGAAAATTTAGAGATTTAGATATTTTAAATATAATTCGGAATTCAGAAATTTAGAAATTTAAGAATTTGGGAAGTTGGGAATGTAAAAATTTGAAAGTTCAGAAGCTTGTGACTTAGTGAAGCACCGATAGACAGAGCACATAAAATGGACGATCGCTGGGTATACAAGCTTGATATTATAAATGTCGTAAAGGCGCTTGCGTGTTGCTTTTAGTTACGAAGGGTGCTCAAACTAATCAGTGCTAACATGCGCAGAACAAACATAAACTTGTCTTCTGATAAGTACGCTCTTCTGTGAAACGAAGTGTATACGAGTCCTTCTTCCACGGCGACTTCGACGCGGCAAATCTCGGCGTCCGACGTGAATGAAAGCGGCTTTTTGGCGCAACTTCCTATAAATATGTTGTGCTAGTATCGCGAAGGCTAAGAACGATGAGCTTCTCTAGTGATGAAGTTAATTTCTTGGTTTACCGATACCTTCAAGAGTCCGGTATGTTTTTTGGACTACGTCATAACCTCTTTCAAAGTAACTACAACAAAATTTGAATTGTTATTTGTTTGTATACATCTATCTCTTAAATAATCCTTATGCTTCTTTTGTGGTAATTGTTTATAGTAAGTAACAACTTGTTGCATTGTGGATTAATACAAAATGTAAGTTAAATACCATGGAGAGACAGAATTGTTTGAGTACAAATAACAGTGTTATTCACAGTGTTAGTTACAAAATGTGTATTTGATAAGTATCTCCGTTAGTTAATATTTCTGTGTTCTTTTCTTATAGGATTTCAACATTCTGCATACACATTTGGTATAGAATCACATATATCGCAGAGTAACATAAATGGAGCATTAGTACCACCAGCAGCACTCTTATCCATTCTTCAGAAAGGTTTACAGTATACAGAAGCAGAGATATCGATAGGTGAAGATGGCACTGAACAGAGAATGGTGGAATCCTTGTCCCTTATTGACGCTGTTATGCCAGATGTTGTTGCATCTAGGCAAAATCAAATTAATCAGCAGAAACAACAGGTGAAAACGGAAGTACAAGATACAAATGGAGAAGAAGGTAATCTTATTTTATTTTGTGTTATATGTACATTGGGGTATTCTATAATAAACTACTTTGTAATGAGCAAATACTATAATAAAATCTTCCTTACATAATTGAAACATATACATAAATGTAGAGAAATACAATCAACTATCATGTAGATTGTCCCATTTCATGTTTTGTTTGTTTCTTGTTCCTGCCAGAGGACAAGTTTAACAAAAAAATAGAATTCATGAGTTTTATTCCTCTTGTTCTTTATCATATTTTTACAAATCCACACATGTGTGCAATGTACGAAATTTAAAATAAATAAATTTATAATATATATACTTGTTCTTATTTTCATATTGAAAGTGTATATTCTATCCATAAATACATATGTATCCCATAATGGATCAGGTTCTGAAACAAATCAGTTCATTATAGAGTACCCAAATTGTGTTTTAGAATAGTATCCTGGTACACCCTGGTTTATAAAAGTATTCTCATTTTATAAACCTCCTTCATACACCAGGTAAATTAAAGGACAGCTTTAGTTTTTGGACCTGTTAGGAGCTAATATGTTGTTATATCAGTGACATCAGAGTCTAATGGATTTTATATTTCACTAATTTATTAAAAATTTTGTATTGTTAAGATTAGAATATACATTGATATAGCAAGATATAGCTCAATGTTAAGTTTATAACATGTCTATAAACTAGGAGCAAACAACACCATTGGTACACATGACTATAAGCAAATGAAAAATGTTCAGTTTAATGATATTATTGACTTATTTACAGTTGTCACCTCCAATGAAGGAGTAGGTACAAATGAGAGAGGTGGAGATAGGACAGAAATGGAAGTAGATGAACAGCAACAAGGTTCAGGCACAGGAACCAATGCCAGTGCTGTTGAAATTCCAGCAAGTAAAGCTACAAAATTACGCGGTCATGAGTCAGAAGTTTTTATATGCGCATGGAATCCAACGACCGATCTTCTGGCATCTGGTTCTGGAGATAGTACAGCTCGTATTTGGGATATGTCCGATAATTCTCAGGCACCAAATCAACTTGTTCTTCGCCATTGCATACAGAAAGGTGGTACTGAAGTTCCAAGCAATAAAGACGTTACTTCATTGGATTGGAAGGTACAGTGATTATCGTTATGCATATGCAGAATCATTATAGGAAATAGTAACGTCTTCCCGTTATTTTCAGTGTGACGGTACTTTACTAGCAACTGGAAGTTACGATGGTTATGCAAGGATTTGGACAACAGACGGTAGATTAGCGTCTACTCTAGGGCAGCATAAGGGGCCGATTTTTGCGTTAAAATGGAATAAACGTGGAAATTATATATTAAGTGCCGGCGTCGACAAAACGACCATCATATGGGACGCCGAAAGTGGACAGTGTACTCAACAATTTAGTTTTCATTGTGCACCTGCTTTGGATGTTGACTGGCAAACGAACACATCATTCGCTAGCTGTTCTACAGATCAATGTATTCACGTATGCAAACTTAATGTTGATAAACCAATCAAGAGCTTCCAGGGACACACGGTATGTATATAAATTTAAGATAAATATTTATTTTCTTATTGTTAGTAATATATTTATCTAAATTGCAGAATGAGGTTAATGCTATTAAATGGGATCCTCAAGGCAATTTGTTAGCTAGTTGTTCAGACGATATGAGTCTCAAAATTTGGTCAATGAAACAAGACACATGGGTCCACGATCTCCAAGCTCATAGCAAAGAAATATATACTATAAAGTGGTCACCAACTGGACCTGGAACTCATAATCCAAATATGAATTTAACTTTAGCTAGTGCATCATTTGATTCCACTGTAAGGCTATGGGATGTGGAAAGAGGTGCATGCATCCATACACTTACGAAACATACGGAGCCAGTGTATAGTGTAGCATTTAGTCCAGATGGTAAATTTCTTGCTAGTGGAAGTTTTGACAAATGTGTTCATATTTGGTCTACACAGGTAAGATAACGCTGAGTGTAAATTTTATTGTGTACTCTCAATTTTATACTTACTGTATGTTGTATTTAATTTTACAGAGTGGTCAATTGGTACACAGTTACAAAGGTACAGGAGGAATATTTGAGGTGTGTTGGAACAGTCGAGGAGATAAAGTTGGTGCTTCTGCATCTGATGGCAGCGTGTTTGTTCTTGACCTTCGTAAACTGTGATCGCAATCGTACTATAGACTATACTTAATTTTTCGGACTCACCATGGTTCTAAGTTACCTTCATTGCTTTCTGTTTTCTTTTTACTCGGTTCTTCATTTTCCAAAATACTGGCCATGTTATACAACTATCTGAACTATTTGTGCTTGTTGAATATAATTTCATAGAGTATTAATTATTTATATATAGGACTAAAATGGTTTAGTAGTTTACAAGTTGATAGAATTTGAACATATATATATATAAATAACATGAAAAGAAGAATTTCCTTTAATTAGCTTCCCGATATTCTACTACAAAATGTTCACAAAAAATAATTGTACATTAATATTCTCAATTGTGACATTGTACAGTTTGAAACAGTTTGACAGTCATTATATTTTCAGAGAAAAATAAAATATAATCTCCATTCACTGGAAGTGAATGGGGGCACATGTTATAATTGTAATAATACTAAGTATTATATAAACATTTGATGATAAGTAAAAAGAAAATAAACTTTTATAAAGAACGGTGTAACAACGAGATTTATTTTTACAACAATTTATTATATTTTAATGCACGAAAGAGGTAAAATCAGAATGCACGACGAACGTATTTTAAATGAAATTTATTTCAGTTTAACTATGCATCGTTTAATTTAATTCATAGACATAAAAAAAAAGTCGAGGTGAAAATAAATAAACAACGATATTGTACAATTTTTTAAAATAAATAAGTTCTACCTATATTACATACAACATTCTTGTTATTCTTATACATGTTTTTTTTTTGTTTTTAGCAACAAGTTATATAGTACAACACATAAATAATAATCGTTTGTAGGTAAGTCTACATTCTAATATTAATGTAAACATCAGAAGCATTAACTTTTTTCGTTACTATAATCGTAAACTTTCTATGTTCTTGAGATAGTCCTAAAGATCATTCATGTTCAATGTATGTACAGTCAGAAGTTGGTTAAATCAATAAAGAAAATTCTATTCAATAAATTACATAAATTAAAATAAAAGAAAAAACTTAAGTTTCACATAGTTACAATTTCAAAAATATTAATCCTTTTTACATTTTTAATGCAACATATCAACACTTAAGGCTAAAACTAGAACACTTAACAAATACAAGTTACGCTTCGATGTTTGATGTGGACATAAATACAATTTGGAGGCAAATACTTAAAAACAACACGTATATTAATTCATCATGCATACAAAAGGAACTATTGACCGATCATTTCGAGTACATCCACAAAATATGGAATCTCTTTGGTAACGTTGAAAGTAGTCAATTCTATTGTCACGACGTTTGCGAAGATAAAATAAAACGAATCGTTAATTCGTAACATTTATTTCTGACTAAATTTCTTTCATGAACAAAACTCGAGAACAAACGATGTTTAAATTAAACTACATGCAATGTGCAGTTATAAAGTCGCTATTAAAATATTGCATAAATGTTATTTAAGAAACTTTACCGTAATTAATAAATACAATTTATTGTATACTTTCTCAGCTTAATTTCAACTGAAAGTTATGGGTAATATTTTCAGTCCTTAAAACTTAACATTAACACGGATAAATATATTAAGTTACACGTATCCAACACTGGATATCAAATATTAAGCGTGGAGATTACTGTATAGGCAGACTGGAACAAATCACAATACATAATACTGTTCTGTTGCATGATGTAGCATAATCGAAAAGGAAGAATATAGAATATAGCTTTAAGACTTCAGGTTTAGTCATTTTTAATAAAATCCATATTTGTTATTTCTATTTCCCTCCTTTTCCGCACTTCAGCTTATAAATTAAACTAGCTGTTACAATAATTAATTCACAGAGGAATACTGGTACTATCTTTTGAACTATCCTTTACGGGAAATTTTATGCGAACATGCTAATAATTTCTGTTCGACGCACGAGCAATTTGCATATAATTCATGAATGATACGCTATTAAATTATGGCTGCATGCCGTAAAATACATACATGTAAAACCTGAGGGATATGACCAATAATACATAAACTATACGCAAGTCATTAGCTTGTTAGATAAAAAACCGTAATATAGCATAGTTGATTCTTCTTATATCTTCTGCCTTTTGTCGATTACAATAAATGCAATTCGTTTGCCTGTACCTGCAAAATTAAATACAGCAACAACAATTTTAGACGAAACATTGCTAATTTTTATATCCACAAAATAAAGAAGACACATGATTTAACCCTTTGCGTTCGAGAGGCGACTCTCAGTCATCATTTTATTTAATACAATAATTTGAAACGAGTATTTTTAACTGATTCTATAATATGACACGTGTGACGTATAAATATAATGAAGCAAACAACAATGGAAATAATAAAATCTCAAAAGAATTTATTTAACCTTATAACTAATTTTTAAAGTTGCTTCGAAACAGTCAAATTATCTTCGAGTGCAAAGGGTTAAAATCTCAACTAAGCTCCAACTTTTAAGGTCTCCAAATTAGAGGAGAATAATAATCATGAAAGTTACCCTCCGTGGTTCTTGTCTTTCTCGAAAAACGGAGTCATCTGACTGCAACCAATCCTGAAAGTCCTCAGAGATCCTCTCAGGCGTCACATTGCGGCCTTGATTCTTCCTTTCCTGTTCGATGACGTATTCGATTCTGTTCTTCGTTCTCAAATCAGGGTTAGAAAGATCTACGTTGTACATCGGCAAAGATCTCTTCCCAACATTTTCCAGAATGCGTCGATTAGCGTCGATCTGTCGTTGATCCTTCAAAGCTCTGTGCCGGGCCAGTTCCAGTTTCACCCTCTGCCGTAACACGTTCAGTGGATCCACAATCGATAGAGAACCAATTCGTTTGGTTCTGATAACCGTTGATCCAGGATCGTTGCCGGAGTCAAACATTTCATTCTGGAAATTACAATTTTCATTTAATTATCGCGGTTGGGAAGAGGTTGAATTCCTGCGTTTGTATTCACGGGGATGCATATTCGCATATGTTCGTTTAATTTGCACGATTAGATTTCCGGTAAAAAATTATCTTCGTGAATATTTGATGTTATAATTAGAATTCTCCACATTTGGGGATGTGGGAATTTGGGGACGTAGTAATTTGGGGGCGTAGTAATTTGGGGACGTATCTATATGGGGGTGTAGGAATTTGGGGACGTAGCGATTTGGGGACGT